TTCACCCACTTTATCTGGAAAAGTCATTCATCAACCTGTAGAAGACATCCTAAACTCAAGACTGCAAGGTGTCAGAAGTCTGTCATGGAGTCCAGAGATAGTGACTGCTTACAACAGAATACAGTTCTCCACAGAACCTTTAGGCAGCTATGCTAATGAAAGTATTTGGATGAAGGATCAATCTGCTGGACCAGCGAACCAAAGTGAAGGTAATGCATGATTTATGTGATGTTTCGTTCTTTATGTAATTGTTTTGAAGTAAACAGGCAATGCCTTTGAAAAAAAGAGTAAGCACTTTAATACTTGTATCTAGTATATTTTGCAACTTTGACTTATGGGGCTAGTTTAAAAATTTGTACACTGCTTCTGAAAGTTTTTTTTTTTTTTTTCCAAGATTGGTAAGCTAGTTTTCATTCTACCATTATGAGAACATCAAAGACCGTCTGTTTAGGACTATCACTGTATCAAAAGATATTGGTGAGATTATTAGACGGCTAATTGTATGTAAACAACAGCTATTGTAAACATTTCATTATCTTAGGTTTACACTTGGGTACCATAGAATTATTATGCACAGTCTTCAGTGTCTAGGATATCAGGCTGATAGTGAATGAGTTACACTTTCATCAACTTGGCTGGAAAGGGCTGTTGGTCCATTGAAGGTATTAAAATATTGTATGTGAAACACTTATTATTATTATTTGCAATTTTCATTCATTCTTTCATGTAAATCTTAATTTCATTTAAGTTCCACATCCTCATTGTGCTTCCACACCAGTTTTCATGACATGTACAAGTTTCTCATACCAATCCAAAACAAAAAGAGATTACAAAATATGCTTTGTTCATTGTAGTGCAGCGGAAACTTGGAGATGTCAGACTGAATGAACTTGGTGTCTGGCTTGGTGCTCGAACTCCTCTGTCACCCAGAGAGATTGTGACCATGTTGAAGCAAGGTTTGTTCCTTAACAATCACAGTACAGCATAGCACAGCATTTGGTCTAGTGTTTTTGATTTTCTTGGTTGTATGTGATCAGGATGGCAGTGGTACTACAGGAAGTATATTGATGTTCGGAGAGGAGGAATTGGTGGGATATCCATGCTGTTGACTGGATACTGTGTCCTGTGTTACATATGGAATTACCCACATCTCAGTGAGTCTGAATTAATGCCATCTACACACATCCCATAATCATTGACACACATAAATAAAATGTCTTGTTTTATGCTGTTTCACAGAGAAAGAACGCTGGAGGAAGTACCATTAGGGATGTTTGGTGGTCTTCATAATTGTAGCACACTTTGGAGAAGCAGCAGCTTTGTGTTTAGGGCGATGAGGGCATAATAAGCTTAATAATTAATATGGCAAGATTATAAAACCAGCAACTAGTAGTTCACTACAATATTAGGTTTGCTTGTATTTTTGTTAGAATTACTATGAATTCTCTGGGAGCATGGATAATGGAGTTATTTAACTTAAATATTTTTAAATGTTCATTTATTTGCAAACAAAGAGAATTTGTATAATTTTGAAAAATTGTACTAACAAGTTTTCATTTTGTTATTGTGTAACCAAGCAGTGAACCAAGTTTTTTTTGGGTTAGTTCACCCAAAAATTAAAATTCTGTCATTAATTACTCACTCTCATGTCGTTCCAAACCCGTAAGATCTCCGTTCATCTTCGGATCACAAATTAAGATATTTTTGATGCATTCTGAAAGCTCTCTAACCCTTCCATAGACAGCAAGGGTACTACCACGATCAACGTCCAGAGACGTAGCAAGGAGATCGGTAAAATAATCCATGTGACATCAGGGGTTCAACCGTAATATTACGAAGCTACGAGAATACAAAACAATGTATCCGTGTGGTGCGGCTGACACAGAACAACATACGCTGTTTGCGTTCAGTGGATACCCTCCAAAATGGCACCAGGGTGACGCGGAGAAGACGATTTGTTGAATAAAGTCGTTTTTTTTTTTTCTTTTGCGCACAAAAAGTATTCTCGTAAC